TTGCCCCATAGGTGCTGTACCTGCTGGGGGCCATGCTGCTCTCCATGACTCTGCAGATGGGCTGCCACAGGCTCTGGAACCTGCTGGGGACCCGCCTCTTTGCCTTAGGGATCATGGCCATTGCCTGGGTAAGGAGATACTGTCCCCACCCATCCCCTTACATTCCCATCCCAGCCGTGCTTTGCATCCTGCCCAGCCGTCCAGCCCCACTCCCCCACTAGCATCTCCCCTCTGCTGCCTTTACCCTGCCCCATGAACGACCTTCCCTGGCTTGTGGGGGACAGGGCACTACAGCAGAGGGTCTGTGCCCATCCCCGCGAGGGCTGCCTCTTCCAGCCCCCTGCTTTCCGCACCACAGATGGCTCGCACCATCCAGCGCCGCCACTGCTACCCGCCAACCTGGAAGTGCTGGGCTTTGTGCCTTGGAGCGCTGATTGCAGTGGCTGCCGTGCTGCTCTACGCCTTTGTGGAGACGGAGGAGAACTATTTATACATCCACAGCATCTGGCACTTGCTCATCGCTGGCAGTGTTGGCTTCCTGCTGCCGCCCTGTGCCAAGCCCAACAGGTGCCTGGGACCCCTGCCCCAGCGCAAGGGCTGCGGGTACCAGCTCTGCATCAATGAACAGGAGGAGCTGGGGCTCGTTGACACAGCGATGGCCTCCATCAACAGCATTTGTACCAGCTGATGCCATTGGTGGCCTGCACTCCTCTGTCATGGACAGCAGCCCTGCGGGGCCCGGCACCTGCTCTCTTTACTGGCCACCCATCCCGGGAGTGCCAGGACTCCTCCAGGCAGGTGCACAGCTGCCCCTGCTGCCTTGTTCTTGCAATTACAGATTGGTTGAACTTGTCTCCAGGAGTTGCTGTGGCTCAGTTCAGTGCAGAGCTGGGGGACTCAAGGCTGAGCTGGGACCACACCCCCCTCTTTGCAGGGCCGTGGAGGTGCTCAGGGGACATGGCTGGGTGCAGAGGGGATGATTGCAATGAACTCCTGCTCTTTCTCAGGGTCCTGTGGCAAGAGCTTCTGCTCTGTGGTGGGCTTCTCTGGGGCTGATGCAACTCCAGCATGGAGCAAGGTGGCCAGCAAGAGGTGGGGGGCCAGGGGCTCCAGCCTTTTGGCTCACTGCAGGGAAGACTGCAGAGCTGGGAGGACTTCACCGTGGTACTGAGCTCTTGTGGGATGGCTGTAACGCCTGACCCAGGGGGAGCTGTGCTGTGCCAGGGCAGCTGAGGTCCCCCTCAAGCTGGCAGGACCATAGGGAGCCTGTAGCCCTGGGGAAAGCTGCCAGTGGGGAGTGTTCCCGGTGTTGCCTGCCGTGGCAATGCGTGGGGCTGAGAGTGCACTGTCTGTAAGGGCCGCTCCCCAGCAGCCTACAGCCTCATTCATGTCAACCCACTGCCTGGATCAGCCCCCCTTGGTGCCCCACACGTGGGTGGACCCACCCAGGAGCAGTGCAGTGGCAACCCTGTGTCCCTGTTGGTGCCACCAGCCATGAACAACTGCCCTGTCTGTGCAGGACACTGAGCATCACTGGGAGGGGCCATTGCATGGCATGTAACCCTCCCATCTGGTTGGGGCAACCCTGTCTAAGCCCCTGTTCCTCATCCCCCCCCATGGTCAGACACACAGGCTCAGCATCCACCTGAGCCAGTCATGACCAAACACCCAAGTGGTGGCAAACACCCGAGCTGTGCACGTGGCTCAAGGACGGGGCATTTCCACCCTGCCTCTGCAGCTCAGAGGGGCAAGATGGACCAGAGAGGAGAGGGGGAACCCCACTGCCCCTTCTCACCCCTGCGGGGGACTGCTTTAACCCTCCAGGCTCTTCCCAACCCCGCAGAGGTCTTCGGGAGTGAGTCCCCAGGTAAAGCTCTGCATCCCAGCAGTCACATCCTGACTTAGCAGTCACCTGCCAGCAGCCCCCCTCCCCTCTACCCTGGGGACAGAACCCAAGCATGGGAAGATTTACAGGATGCCTAACAGGATTAGCAACTACGGGCAGGCAGCTCCATAATAGGATTGCAATCTAATTAAACCTGCTGCTTGGAAGCTGGGCCCCAGCAGGCCAGAGCAGGGTGGGCTCAGGGGGCTGTGGGGGCAGCCTGAGGGGATGGCGGGGACAGGGCAGGCAGGAGCAGAAGGAGGGGTGAGCTGGTGGGGGCCATGGTGGTGGCAGCGGATTCAGGGCTTTGCTGCTCGCCTCTCTGGGCTGTGCATGGGGCAATGGCCACAGGGAGCCAGCCTGGTGTGGAGGCATGCTGGGGAGCCCAGGCAGCTGGGCAGGAGCCCCAGTCACTGTGCAAGGGGTTTGGGGGACCTGCACTCACTGCCCCCCTCCCCCTTGAGAGCTCACCCTCCAGCCTTTTCTCTGCCATGCCAAATGACCTGTCTGGTTGTTATGGTTTGAGAAACCCATAACAATTTATTGTCATTTAGACAATCATTCCATCACCCGATGACCCCTCCCCACCTGGGAAAGGGAATCGGGAAAAACAAGGAAACCCGGGAGTTGAAGTAGAAACATATTTAATAGAGTAAGATTAGATAATTAACATTAATAGCACTAAAGAACCAATATTGATCCCAATACCAATACAGAATATGCAAAGATTATACTCAGCCAATTCTATCAGTAGGAAGCTGTGCACTCCCAGCAGCGGACAGTAAATGTCGGACACTGCAAGTGCTACAGCTTCGTGAGGAAGGGAAGGCATCAGGAGTCCGGCAGTGGGGCAAGAAGTTCTCAGGATGGCAACCATCAAGGGAGGGAGCGAACTTCGCAGCAAACTTTCTAATTTATAGTGAACATGATGTTCATAGTATGAAATAATCCTGTTGGCCAGCTTGGGTCAAGTGCCCGGGTCTCGCTCCTCCTTGTCCCCACACCTGGCAAGCTCGAAAACACTGAGACCTTGAAACCCACACACCATAGCTGTCTACAAAGTAAATATTTTCACCAATTCAGACACTAGAGTCTTCTAAAAGTGCAGTCTTCCCAAGTATTAGAAGAGAAATTAGTCCTGTGTCATTCAAACCAGGACATTCCACCCCTTATTTCATACCATATATATGTTACACTCAAGTTACTGTTATATTTGGCCTCTAATATATATATACACACACAAATACAATCCTCTAAAGCTATGAACTATTCCTCTAAAAGGTCCATTAAGTTTCTTTAGTTCAAAACTAGGAGTCATGGAATCACGGAATCACAGAATTTTCAGAGTTGGAAGGGACGTCTAGATATCATCTAGTCCAACTCCCCTGCCAGAGCAGGGTCATGACGTGTGCTCTAGGCAATCCTGCTTTAACAGGGGAGTTGGACTAGCACATTACTCAGGACTGCGTCCAGACGGGTCTTGAAAATCTCCAGAGAAGGGGACTCCACAACCACCCTGGGCAGCCTGTTCCAGTGCTCTGTCACCCTAACCGTAAAGAAGTTTTTCCGTGTATTTGAACGGAACTTCCTATGTTCCAACTTGTGCCCATTGCCCCTCGTCCTGTCACTGGGAACCACTGAAAAGAGTCTGGCTGTTGTTGTAGAGACGGACACGACATTCAAT